GGCACTTCGGAGCGGCCGTGGGGGAGGGCTCCCTCGCTGTCATTCCGAAGCGCTTCGGCCGGCTGTGTGAAAATGGGGGCTTTGGGAGGACCCCTCCCAAAGGCCCCATTTTCACACAGCTGATCGGTGGTTCCAAAATGGCCACCACAACCATTTTCACGCGCTGCCCTCGCTTACCAAGGCAGCGAAAATGGTGGCCAGATAGAGGATCTTCGCATAATGGTGAGTTTCCCCCCCATAGGAATGCATTAAACGAAGTTTAATGCGTTTCTATGGGGTTTTCTGTCCCGCATTGCGACGATTCCAGATAGCGACGATTAATCCGGAACAGATTAACGTCACTATGCGGGGCACCACTGTATAATATACGTGTGTGTGTATGTGTGTGTGTGTATGTATGTATGTGTGCGTGTGTGTGTGTGTGTGTACACACACACACACACACACACACACACACACACACAGTGGTGCCTCGCATTACGAGCGCTCCGTTTGATGACGAAATCGCATCATGACGAAGATTTTGCAATCGCAAAAGCGATAGCAAAACGATGTTCCCTATGGGGGAATTTCGCTTTGCTATGATCGGTCCCGTTTCGCTAACCGATTATCGCAAAGCGATGATTTTCGGCCAGCTGATTGACGGTTTCAAAATGGCCGCTGAGTGAAAAACGTGGCCGCCCGCTGTTTTCTGGCATGGATTCCTCGCTATGGAGAATCTTTGCTGGACGGTGAGTTTTAAGCCACTAGGAACGCATTAATTGGGTTTTAATTCGTTTCTATGGGCTTTTGTAAATCGCATGACGTTTTCGTTCGACAGCGATTTTTTCAGAACGAATTAATGTTGTCATGCGAGGCACCACTGTATATTTTAAAGATCAGAATCAGTAGGTGTATGCTGAGAAACTGAAATAGGTTTGCTCAGATCTCCACTTTACATCTGCTTATTTACACTTTTTTTTTGCAATTTTGTGACATGTAGGCAAATGTCAAATCAAAATGCTTAAATGGACAGTGGCATTTGTCATGTAAATGTTCTCTGCCAACATTTGTTTTATGTTCTGTTTCCACAGATTAGTCGTCAGTCCATTGATGCACTGAAGGATTGGTTCAGAGATGAAATGCAGAAATCTGACTGGCAACTTATTGTGGAATTAAAGAAAGTATTTGAAATCATCTAGGTTCTGTTAAGCATTGGGCATTGGCTAGCATAAACCCACAATTCCTATTACAAAAATGATCAACAGCTTCTAGTGAATATGCTGTTGGGGTTAATTAACATCTGGGGAAAAATGTGAATAATGTTTTCCATGAGAAACCAAGTAACTTACACTGGTTTGACAGTGGTCAATTTACATGTCCCTGTGGTTCCAATGTGCCTGTGCACCTTCCCCACTGTCCTTCCCTTTATACTGGCTACTGTTTTAAAGTTTGCCCTTCCCAAGTCACCTCCTAAACATTAAAAAAGGAAAAAATGAGATTTTTATTACAGAACTCAACTTTCACTTTTATACTAGCAACACCAGTACTGCAGTATTTGATTAACCAAACTTCTGCAGAACTTTGTGATTCTTGGACCTATTTTGATGTAAGAATTGTTTATTTATGCAAACTTCTCTCTCCCCTCCTTGATTTTTCAACATTCTTCTGCTTTGTGCCTATAGACATTTAAGATAGAAAAATTAGGTGATTGGGTATCTGTACTTGCTTTGTGTGATACAATGATGTAAAAGTATAGTTTGCTGCCTTTTATTGCTTGTACAGTTTGTCAGATTTCATAAACTGTAATCAATAATGCTGAGATGCAAATAAAGGAAATAGACGTTATCCTGTTAATTTAATTCTTAATAAAGGCAGTCCAACTTGCATGTATTAAACTAAATGTGAACAATTGGAGTGTCCAATCCTAACAGTTCATACGGTTCCCTTCACACTTTGCTGTAGGAAAGTGGGGTGCATTCATGAAGATAAATAAACATGCACAAGTACTTGTAATAGGCTATTGCAGCAACCTGATCTGTACTATATGATTAGTGAGGTCTTTATCTTATGCAGAAAAGGTAGTAGTGATCTCCAAGTTGTTTTTATGCTGATGTTCTGGCAATGTGGCTATCACAGAAAATCAACTTTGGGCAGGATTCTATATACAGCCACTCAGGAATACGTGGCAGACTGTCCACAAAGGACCTTGCATTGATATTAGACCTGCAGCATTATAGGCAAGCCGTAATATCAGGTAGGGAGAGGGATGAATGGAACTGGGAGCCACATCTTGGAAAGAGACAGCAGGAGGACTTTCAGAGGTACAAAAAGACTGCATGGGAACAGCATGGTGGCAAGAGGGCTGCTCTACCTCCTGCTGTTTGACAGCTTCCAGTTCCATAATAATGTGGCGGTGGGAGGTTGCTGCCAAATTATGGCACTGGGGGGGTCTTCACCCCCCAAAAGTGACATCCCTAGTATCCAGTACTCAAGGTGCCATATTGTGGAAACCCCTTACTGTCACCAGTCATCAAAAATGTATGTCACAGGTATCCTGTAGCAAGTACAAAACAATCAGCAAGTTGTATGAGAGCAAGTACAGATGTTATCACAGCTGGCTACTTGTTGGAGATAACTGCCTTATAGCTGTGGTCTCTCACATGTGGTCTGATGTGTGCACTCTTGCTGGATTACAAGGACAAATTTTAAAAGTCTCACAGTTCTCTACTACAAATAGCATGGTACTAGCCAATTCCTAATATTAGACATGTCAGGTCTGTATTGCTTATTAATCAAGTTCCAAAGAAACTGCAGGATCAAGAAAGGATAAAATATTCTAGTCCCATGCTTGTGTGTTAAGCTGAGCTATTCACAAAATTACAGGGCTTTCTGCATATTATACATACTGAAGATAAGCTAGCTGTAGGCTAATACTCTATAAACTGAGCATGCAAGGACAGAGTCTGTTCAAGTCCTAAACCAGGGGTGTCCAACCTTTCACCTTCCCTGGGCCACATTAGAAGATGAAAATTTGGTTTGGGCCGCACATAAAATAACAATACCTGATCATACAAAAAAAACAAACAAACAAACAAACACATAAAATAACAATACCTGATCATCCAAAAAAAACACAAAAAAACGGGGCAAGAGGTTCAAAAGTTTGCAAGACAGCTCTTTGTAACCCTTTTCACACGTTTTTTTCCTGTTCGGAAACCGTCCTGATGACTCACACCAAAGTAACGCTTTTGCCTTGGTTTGTCTTCATGATATAGAGGCTGGAAAGCTAGCAGCGCGGAGCGACCCCACAATACCTGATCATCCAAAAAAAACACAAAAAAACGGGGCAAGAGGTTCAAAAGTTTGCAAGACAGCTCTTTGTAACCCTTTTCACACGTTTTTTTCCTGTTCGGAAACCGTCCTGATGACTCACACCAAAGTAACGCTTTTGCCTTGGTTTGTCTTCATGATATAGAGGCTGGAAAGCTAGCAGCGCGGAGCGACCCCGTGGCTGGAGACAGAGCCCGGGAAATTCAAATGCCATCCCCCACCGGGCTCCTGCTGCCGTGTCTCTCCATGCTGCTGGCTTCCCAAGTAGAAACTCTACGTACACTCAGCCTTTCACCAGCCAGATCCAGCCCCACTGAAGGCGGCGACCACGGTTGCGTCGGTCTCCCCTCTGGACTCCGACCTGCAGCGGGCTGCCTTTCTCCTCCCCGCTCGGCCGGAAAACCACAAGCCTGGCAACTGGACAGACAAACTGCCAGGCTGACTTCCTCACTCCGGGCAGCAAGGGTGTCAAGTGGCTCGGCTACCCGCTTTCCTCCCCAGTTGCTGAGTTGGCTATTGAGCTGCGGGGCAGATTTGGCGCTAAGGCTCCAGAGTTTGAGGCTGGTTTTTCCTGCCTGACACACACACACACTCCACGGGTAGGCAAGCAATGAGCTGCGGGGCACATTTGGCGCTAAGGCTCCAGAGTTTGAAGCTGGTTTTTCCTGCCCGACACACACACACTCCACGGGTAGGCAAGCAGCTCCTCCCTCTTCGCCTTCCCCTCGCTGCATCTTTCCACATCTTTTTTGCTTCCTCACTCGCCAGGAGAGAGGCCGGGTAGCAGAATTGGAACGCTAGCACAGCATTGTGGGAGGTGCGGGACCTTCACTGGGCCGCATTAGGAGCTGACCTGGCCACATGCGGCCTGTGGGCTGGACAAGCCTGTCCTAAATCATTACAGTAACTTTGGCATTGTATTCAGCAGCTACAAGCCTGGGCTGTGCATGTGAAGCCTTAGTGGTGAGCATCAGGTAATGTGTACATCTTTGCAATTGCTACATGGGCTAAAGCCACTTACGCTGTTGTTAGGAAAGTGAGAATTTACCTCTCCCCCCCTCCACTGTAGTCCCCAGCAATGGCTGAACCTAGTTCAGGGCAGCATCCTCTAACCTGGTGACCTTCACATGGGACCAACTCTTAGCACAGAATAGCTTGTAATGACTCAAGATTATCGGATATCAAAATATTTAGAGAACATCAGGCTATGGCATTGTTGAGCTAGGATAATGCACTGATTGAGTTCTACTCTCTTGCCCCAGGTTCTTTATGTCTATTTTAGTTAACAAGGACAGATGCAATACCACGTGTAATCCCACCCTTCTCCAGCTACATGGCTACGTGAATATTGCTGGCGTGCATTCTTTTGATAGACCTATTGATTAAGAATATATAGGGATATATTTTTAAAAGGTTTCACATTATTAGGCCTCTAACCTTTAAGAAAAGTTTGTCATTATACAGTGTCTTTGAATGCTGAAAAGAATTGAGCAGCATTACCTACATTAGTACTGGAATAACAACACTAAACAATATGTGCAAATTACATACAGTTCTTTATTAAACAATGTAAACACTTCACTGTAAAAATCCATAAAACCTTTATAAACAAACATTTTGTAAATAGATTCTATACTACAATGAAAGAATTTGAACACAATTATTTACATGCAATACTGACAAATTTTGGCACTTTCTTCAAAGGAAATGTACAAAACACTTTCTTCTTTAAAAAAAATTTCAACTTATAAAAACTTAGCTTTACTATCATGCACTTTGCAAATACCTCACAAGCACTTATGGCACAGCTACCAGAGAGCTCCAGGCTCCCACCACATCCTTCCCCTACAAAGTCAGTTTAGATAACTTTTAATGTGCTTCCATAGGTTTGCTGCAAAACCACTTGAACATTGTCAAGAATGAAGTCGAATGCCATGTTCCAAACTGATTCCACAGACTGCTGCATTAGCCTGCAGAAAAGAAAATGATCATTTTTAAAGAAACAGAACTATCACGACCACATATTTTCATAATTTTACATAAGGATGTCAAACAGGCAGTTACTTTCCCCCCCTTTTTTTGAAATATGTGTTCTCTTTAAAGCTATGATTAAGATAGGGAAACTTTGGCTCTCCCCGGTTTAAGGCTTCAGTTTTGGAAGCCCCAAGCAGTACTGCCAAAGAATAAAGGATTGTGGGAAGTGTATTTGAAAACTTTTGGAAAGGCACTCCAGAGGTGGTGGAAGCATCAAGAATAACCACAAACCAACCTGTCTAGATTCAATGCAAATCCAGCACATTCTCTGGGCTGACCCCAGTGGTGACATTATGCTGACAGAATAACTTTGGTGGCAGTACTGTGAGGGGACTGAATCCCCTTCTTCCAGGTACTCCAAATTCTAACTGTGGAGAACTAGAATTTGCCCTGAAAGACAATAAAACTGAAGATTTGTGGGGCAGAGTAGAATGCAAGCCCCTTGTAATGGCAGATGCCTAATAGTGAAGTGTGGAGGCTAAGTCACTATGCGAAGTAAAAAGGAATAATAATTATGTGCCATCAAGTCAGTTTTCACTTATGATGAAACCCTCAGGGTTTTTCAGTAGAGGAATACTCAGTTTACCATTCCCTTCTTCTGGAGAGCCTTAAGACTGTGCAGTTGCTCAAGGCCACCCAGGCTGGCTCTACTCATAAGAGGCACAGTGGGGAATCAAACTCCCCCTTTCTGGCTCTGCAGAAACCTAAACCATTAAGCTAGCCAGACAGCTCCTTTAAAGCAGAGATACACCATTAAGAATCTTCTGGATTTTGAACTCCACTTCCCATGATCTTTCGTCATTAAACTATGCTGTCAAGGGCTAATGGGAGCTACAGTCCATGAGTATCTGCAGAAAACTTCATTGTGTTCACTCTCCTGTTTTAGAGGCACAAAGGGCTGGGGAAGAGGATGAATCTGTGGAGGCATGAAGTAAGATCAACATTTTCCCAAGTTTCATTATGGCCTTTTCAATGGCTATCAGTTTTTTAAACACAAAGTATGAATTGAGATACCAAATTAAACTACCTTTTCATATACTTTATGACCAGATCCAGCTTTTCTAAATCTTTTTCTTCTATCAGATCAGTACAATACTTTACAACTTGCAGAATGTCTTCCTCCATGGGATCTGCAGAATCATAGGGTGATACAAGATTATTAAAATGCCTCACTCTGAAATGGTAAAGTGTCACACAGCATTAAATCTGCAATTGTTGAGCTATTGCTAGAAAAGGAATTCTCTCTTGCAGGCATACTGATCTGCCAACTACAGGTTTAATTCCATCCTTGCCTTCCTAGAAAAGGTTATGTAGAATATATTAGAATAATCTAATTTTTGCTGATTTGTTTTTATTTCAGCATTGCACTAGGGTCATGGGGGGGATATGGAGATATCAAAAAGGGACATGGAGTATACTGTACTTCAACCACCCCTGAAACACAGACATGACGCTTTGCAGCCTTAAAAAAACACACCTACCATTCCATTTATTTTAGCAGAAATTTCCTTATAGTCATTAAAAACAAGAGTGATGTTACAAACCCACCTGATATAGTTGTTATCCATTCTCTGAGCAATGCCTTTACATCACTGAACTCAACTGCTCCCGCTAGATTAGGGGCCTGAGGCCTAGTAATGGCAGATAGTAATGGCTGCGAAACAGATGGGCTAGAAGTATCTATAGTAGCTTGCATTAATTCCACCTGTTCAGACACAAAATATAACAAAAAGTATATATTGAATTTCTTACTCAGTATTTTCCCAAATGCAAACAAACCTTAAGAAAGAATTCAAAGCAGGAAAACCATATGATTAGACCTGCCAGTTTCTCAGGCTTGGGCCTTGATATTCAAGATTTTGGGGCTCAGCCTACACAATGCAGGGTCTAGCCCTGAAATCTTGGAAGTGGAATGATGCAGACCTGGCAATCCTGATCTGATTTTGGAGCTCACTTTGACATTCTGCAGATCACCCAGATGCCCACCAATAGACACAAATTTACTCTTGTTCCACTTTTGACTTAGATACATTCCTTTTTCTTTTACTAATGCACTTTTCCCCATTGTGTGTTTTAATTTTCAACCTGCAAATCTCTCTGGCTGTCTCTGGGAGGCAAAGTCTTGATAGCAATACTTAAGTCTTTAAGCTGTTTCTCTATATTGTCTTACAATTGTTGAAGAGCAGGCCCTCTATAGCACACACAAAGGTGTGTGACTTATGACTCTGAATTCGCAGGGGATGGGGCGCTGCTAACCTGGCAATTCCAATACAAAAAACAAACAAACAAATACCATGACATTTAAGTTTAAAAGATGCAGAAACTGAATTTGCTTATGATAAAGATACCTGAGAGTTGTCAGTGGTCTTTCCCTCCTGTTTTAAGTAATCATCCATTAATTTCTGCGGGCTTTCAGCAGAAGCAATCGTATTCTTAGAAGGGCTCCCAAAGAGCTTGTTTTTCAAAGGGCTGTGGTGCTTTTTTACTGGACTTACTTGGTTTTTTCCCCTGCTTTTTTTCTTACTTTTTGTAAATGGTTTCAAATTCAGTAAAGGATTCTTTGATACTGGGAAGAAAAGGAACAACTGTGAGAGTTCTGTAGCTCTTTAAGACCAAGCCTTTTCCATTAAATCTATGAACACTATTAATGAAAATATTGTTAAATCATCTTTAGTTGACAGGACTGCATGTAGATACTTACCCGTAGCACTTGCATACTGAAAAACATTCTCTGTATGTTTTTGCCTTTGATCATATGCCTGTCTGAGCTCTGCTTGCAACTCTGCAGGTAGTGCAGCAAAAACTTCGGGATCCACCTAAGCATTGAAACATCCATTTAATTATACCACTGGTGTGCAAGGTCAGTGTTTCCATTTCTATATTTTAAACTTAAGAAATGAATGTATACTCAGTCTTTTTTAAGGAACTATCTATTTGAAGTACAAAAGGTATGTTATTTGTCATTTTATAGAAGACAAACACCTTCAAAGTGACGACAAACAAAAAACTGATAACTTTTTTCTTATAGCAGACACTTCACTAACAGTTTAATTAGTACTACATGCAAAAATCTATTAGTATTAAGCAAATATGCTTATTGCTATTCACCTGGGAAAATGCTGGCAGAGCTATTACATTAATTCCCATATCACCACTTGATTCTTTGAGATCTGGTATTTGTAAAAGAACAGCTCCAACTGGCTGTTGTGGAACTGTAGTGTTGTAGCCATTTACTGGTTCCTTCTTACTACTACTGCCCGTCTCTGCTTGTTGAAGGGAATACATTTGCTGTATTTGTTCTTGAAGATCAGAAGGGAGAGCTTCCAGAACAGACTGATCAAGCTGTGAACAGAAATGTGAACAGAACAGGTTGAGTTTTCTCTTGCTCCAGCTACTTGAGTTCTAATCATTAACACCTGAATAAACACACACTTATTGTTACAGCATTGAGCCATATAAATAAAACAAAATTATATGCAGAACTTCAAGTACTGATATATACTACAAAACGCCAAGTCAAATAAGCAAAAGACACTAAAACTACAAATATGACGATGTAAGACCAATGTCTAAGTTTGGCTATCTATTCTGCCTACTATGGCATGCCGCGCAAAATTGCTCTACCAGTTCTGTAGTAATCTGATTTTGATCAATTAACAATTGGTTATAGTAGTCCGAGTCTGACTGGCTTGTCATGTCTTTTAAGAGGGGTGTAATATATTTTCCTCAAATCTTGTTATGCCTGTTACATCTGAGCATCCTATGCTCAATGGATTCTATCTCACCAGATCCACAAGGGCAGAATCTCTGTTCCCTCGTGATCTTCTTAAACCTGCCTTCCAGGACTGTTGAGGGAAAGGCCTCATGTCTAGCCAGAGTAAAGGCTTTCCTAAACTTTTATGTCTCAAGCTGTGACAAATAGGCCATGGGGAGCACGCGATATTTGTCCGTGTCCATCGCTCTAAAGTTGGGGCATCTACCTAGATCTATCTGTCTTTCCATGTCCATTATTCTCTGTTTGAGGGCTGATTTTGCTTCATCCCATTGCATACTCAGTATTGCTTGTGGAGAGAAGCCCATAACTTGCAATTTGTTTAGGACCGCTTTCAGCCACTTCGATTGACAATTGTCCTTTAGAAGTAAATGGTTTAATCCCTGTGGTTGATAATTTATTTTAAACCAGTACTGAAGGGAGGCTAGTGTAATTTTGGCTACCATTCTTAGTGAGCCTGTCTCTAAACGTATTTGTGCATTTGGTACACATCTTGGTACTTCAAGAATTGCTCTAAAGAATTTAGTCAGAACCCACTCTATCGGGTCAAAGCAGCGAGATGGAGGCCCCATAAAGGTGCCGTAGAACATCTGGCTGACCACCTTTGCCTGAAAGAGTTTTTGGGCTGCTGGAATATATCGACCCCCTTTGGAGTAGTAGAACCTTAAGATGGCATTTGCTGTTTTTTCCCCTTGGGTAGCTGCATATTGTATATGAGCCTTTCTGTCCCCAGTTGATTGAAAGGCCATACCTAGATATTTAAAACAGGAAACCTGTTCGAGAGATTGCCCATTTATCGTCCAAGACCTTTTCTTTTGTCTTCTACCAAAGGCCATAATTTTTGTCTTTTGATAATTTATTTCTAATTCCTTCGTTTTGCAGGAGTCTGCAAATTACTTAAGGCCTTTCTTTAGGCTGACTGGAGTTCTTGCTAGAAGTACAGCATCGTCCGCATAAAGAAGGATTGAAATATGTCTTTGATATAATTTTGGAGGGTGGAGACTAGGAGAGTTCAGGTATTCTACTATGTCATTTACCTATAAATTAAACAGAGAGGGGGCCAGTAGGCAGCCCTGTCTTACTCCTCTATAAGTAACACCTGAATATGTATACCTACAAGTAAAGCTTGCTTAACAATGCTACAATACAGTGGTGCCTCGCTTAACAGGCGCCCCATTTAACGACGAATCCACATAGCGATGGCTTTTTTGCGATTGCTTTTGCTTTGCGATTTTTTACCCATAGCCCCATTTTCCCCCAGCTGACTGGCGGGAGCTTCCGAAGGACCGCGGGGG